AATGGAAATTAATTAGCTCATCTCACCCTAGGCAAAATTGGCCCACTCCACTAGAGCAACTTCCAAGAAAACGACAGTGAGCTACCCACGCATAATAAATGAACAAATCAATTTATAGCTCACTACTCTGAAAATTTCTAGTTCTTTCATGGGTTAAACCTTCTCCCCGCTAATATAAGGTTAAGTATGTCATCTAACTTTTAGGGTAGTGGTACCTCTCTTCTCAGTGTTGGAAACCCCCCTCTCCATTAATAGATAAAAGTATAATTATTAGACTATGAATTTAAGTCATGTCATATATATTATTATATATTGTTAGACTATGCATTCAAATCTAGTAACATAATTAGTGTCTCATGTTACTAGATCTGACTATTGCATAACAACATAATTAGAGATTTCGAATTTGTGTAGCTAATAAGATGGACATGTGTACGGGAAAGGAAAAAAGAGGAATCAAAATAGAAGTAGATGGCTTGTCTTGTGTGGCATCGCAAAATTGCAATGATGGTATCTTGCAATAACCATGCACTGACTGACCTCAGCATGGTTGAGTGTATATCAGTACGAAATGATAGTATTGGGATCCATCAACAGCCAACATAAAAAAACAACCAAAAAACTAATAAAAACGCCTCAGAAATGAACGAGTGATTAATTGTTTTACCGAGAAAAGTTGGAAACACAATAATTATAGGCATGCAAAGTTACACGGAAATTATGTCAGCATGTTTTATCTTTGTGTGTGTGCGCGCGCGGGGTAAGCCGCACGTGGGGGTGCAACTTTGGCCTACAATTTCACCAAAAGAGAAAAGAAGTCGATCGTGTCTTTGGCCTCTTTTTTTATATTTATTTTATTTTTCTGTAGGGATTTTATGTGCATTCGGTGCAAGATAAAAAGGCATTAACCACCACCGACTATGGAGAAAGATAACATATGATTTCACACCTTAAAAATAAAATTAAAGTTGATACTCTTATCATAATTGAATTTTAAACACATGATTAAAGAATTCTCCCCATGAACTGCACCTAAAGTTTGTCCTGTTCACTGATTTTTTATGCGATAGGGAATATCTAAGAATTGTTTCGAGAATATGGCAACTTCCTTAATTATTCTGGTGGGTCTTAAATATAAACATTTCCCAATTTTAACATTTGTGAATCAGTCAAAGAGGTCGTCTAGCCTTCTATAAAAACCCTTTTTGCTGTCATCAAGTGTGAAACTATCTCTTATCTCCAAATAAAGTCATTTGTATTCAATCAAGTCGATCGATTTAATTCTAGTTAATTTATTAATTAATTCTATGACGGGATTTAACATATATATATATATATATATATATCCTCCCTCATAACTTATATATACTTGTACTTCACCTGCAGCACCAATTATAAAACGCCACTACATTCTCATTCATCATTTCTCCTTCATTTTTATAAATAATATGGTCTTCTTTGACTATGAGTCATTGAGTTACCTACAACAAATTAAAGTGTAAACATGAAATCAACGAGGTTTAGTCTAGTGAAAAAAGGTTTTTGATTTGCTTATCAGAGGTCTCAGGTTCGAACCCCATGACATCTTAGTTGTCCGTGCTGTGTGTGGGAGAAACTCTCTCTCTTACAGTTTATACTATCGTTTGTACTTAAAAAAAAAAGGGAAAAAATGCATGAATTAAATATGAAAAGCAAAGTTATCACTTGGTTGAGTTCACATGCATGCACAAGATTACACACGAGTGAGGTTCAAAGTTGTATTGTGTAGCCGTAGGAAGGTCACGTGTAACGAAACCCCGTTCACATTACGAATTTTTAAAAATATTAAATAAATAAAAAAGGGGTTAACCGGTCAAAGGTCACTGTATGAAAGCGTCGACCATTTTGTCGGAACCATGCATTCAATTTTTGCCATTGCCACTCTGCCTACTCCGTACACAACCCTTGACCTACAATTGCCGGTCAATATTTGAGGCCAAGCCAAAGCCAACCCCAGCCTACCCTCTCACTCTCAATCCCTAACCCCCAAAAAAACTCTCTACTTTTTTCTCCAACCCCAAAACGCTCTCTCTTTTTCTTCTCTCTCCCAAATCTTATAAACCAGATCAACCCTACCCTACTCTCTCTCTCACTAAGACAAACAAAACCCACTTTCTCTTTCTAGCCCTTGATGAAGAGTAGCTCTTTCTGTGTTGAGAGTGAGCAATGGATGTGAAGAAGGATGTGGTAAAGATGGAGGACAATAGTACCAATATTGGATGTGGGTTTTCCTCATCACCATTTTCAGGCATATTTGATTTCTGTGAAGGAGAAAAGAGCTCATCTTTAGGGTTTATGGAGCTTTTGGGTGCTGGCCAGGACTTTTGTACTAACTCCTTGTTTGATTATTTGCCTCAGACACCATCTATGTTGCCTTCATTAGCTCCAAACTTTCCAAATACTTCCATAATGGCAAAGGAGTGCTCTGACTACTCTTTGAATCAGCAGCCTGCAACACCAAACTCTTCATCGATTTCATCTGCATCCAGTGAGGCTCTGAACGAGGAACAGACTGATAATAAAGGTGCTGCAGACCAAGATGAAGAAGAAGAACGTGACCAACCAAAGACCAAGAAAGAGTGAGTTTTTCATTCCTGCTTTGCTTTAAGTTTTGTTTTTGAGAGAGATCCATTTCCTAACAGATCAAGATAAAGATGGGGTTTTTATCATTTTCGGATTTATAGTACAGCGACCTGAAATTGAAAATTGGGACTTTGGGTTAAAGTGAACTCAACTTTCATTATATAATAGAAAGCCTGATGGTGTATTGATGAAAGGTTGTTTTTTCTCTGTGTTCATTGTGTGGATGAGCAAAGGTTGAAAGCGAAGAAGGCAAGTCAGAAGAGACAGAGAGAACCCAGATTTGCATTCATGACCAAGAGTGAGGTTGATCATCTGGAAGATGGCTACAGATGGAGAAAGTACGGTCAAAAAGCTGTGAAAAACAGCCCCTTCCCCAGGTACTCACTCTAAACTTCAGTGCCAAATTAACACTTATTTATTATCATGGCATTGCTAACTGCTTGTTAATAATAATCATCCTCAGTTCAAATTAATCAAAACCCAGAATTAAATTAGTTATGGGTTTTGAATCAGAAATCATAATCTTCCTTATTATTATTTTTTTTAATCTTTGATCTTATGTATGTATTTCATGATTTTGGTTGATTGTAGGAGTTACTATCGATGCACAAGTACAGCATGTAATGTGAAGAAGCGAGTGGAGCGATCTTTCAATGACCCAAGCATCGTTGTGACAACTTATGAAGGCCAACACACACACCCAAGCCCACTCATACCTCGCCCAACTCTCACGGCTTCGGCTTCTGCTCAACCCAATATCTCTACCACCTTTGCCATGCCTTCAATGCCCAGAACCCTATTATCTCATCACTATCAGCAGCAACTGCAACCTTTCAATTTCTGCAACTATGTTAATGGTGGCTCACCAACAGCAAATGCTAGCGGCACTGGCTTTCATCACGAAAGGCGGTTTTGCACCCCAGCAACTGGTTCTGCTATGTTGACAGACCATGGGCTTCTTCAAGACATAGTCCCCTCCCATATGCTGAAGCAAGAGTAGATATATTTATATAAATATATATATATATATGTTTATAGATAACCATGGCCGTACCTGATCATGAGATGAGATCCCATTAGTTAATGCAGTGCTACTTAATTATGTACTAATTTAGGTTACTGACTTGTTTTGAGATCAGGTGCTCTTGCTAATCCTGATGGTGATTATCACTGTAACCATGGAACATGGATATTTTAATCCAATGCAGGTACTTGGTAGTAGTTAGTTTTTTTACCTCATCAGATATTCTTTTTTTCTTTTTTTTTTCCTTTTGGGTTTTCTTTTCCTCTTGAGGGGTGTGGGGTGTGTGGAAGAGCGAGCCTCTGAAAGAGGGGGGGAAATGTGGGGTTGGGTATGTAAAGATATTGTGGTATATGGAAAATGGGTTTGCTTAATTATTCTGACCCCTTGTTTGTCCTATATCTTTGTTTTTGCTGTGGAAGGAATGTGCATTGATTTCATTTGTGGAGAGTAGCAGTACTAGTGCTGCTGCGCAGTCATGATTTTGAGGGTTAGGGTTTTCTGCGTAGTCCCTCCAGTCCAGACCCACAATTAATGAAGGAGCCCTCTTTGCTTATTTGTTTATTTATATTTATTATTTAAATTTTTAATATTTTTCCCTTTTTCCTTCTCCCCTTGGAATTCACATAAAACCCATTGATTCTAGAAAAAGGGGCTGCAATTGGGAAGATTTGGTGACAACATCTAATGCGCTGTCCCAAAACTATGCATGCGTATGCTACAAGAAAAGGCAACTCAAAGATCAAAATCTCTACCGCCCCACTTTGAGCCTCTTGGACAATAAATGCCTTGCTTTCTTGTTTTTATGCCACATCAAATCTCACCCTCCATTTTTGATGCATTGAATTTGAATAAATAGATGGGAATGGGATAATGGATTCTGCCATATAAACTAAGCACCGCCTTCACATTTAGGATAATCGGCCTGTGTGATTCTTTTGTCTTAATAATGGAATTATATCTACCCATCTATTGAGTCATCTGCACTCTCACATGTTCCGCGGCCATTTTGTCCACAACTTTTGCGCACTTAGTACATATCCATGGCCATGGGAACCAAAAGTATTTTTATCGGTTTGTCAATCCAACATTGACCCATCTTAATCCTAACTCATTGTCCCGTGCACTCTCACCGCATGCAGGAGAAACACTTGTGTGAACAATGTTATCCTTGACTAATCGCGGTATGCCATGCATGAATACAAGTATATATCAAGACCTCACAAAATATTGAGTATATAGAGGAACCAACCAACGTATGGGCTTGGATAATCGTACTTTTAAACTCCAGTTGAAAATCAGTATATATCAAGAGACCCGCAGAGAACAAGACTTCACAAAATATGGGCACGAAAGCTTTTTGTCAACTACTGTTGAGTTGTTTCAGCCAGCGGCAGTATGAGCACCAAAGATGCAACATTCTATTTTGAAACAAATACATCATATGTTTCATGTTATGTAAATAACTGGTTTATGACACAAGTCTCCGGGCAAGCAACAAGCCAATTGCATGAGATTAAAGACTCCATAATTTAAGCGTTGATGGCAACATTTCTACACTCTGTCTGATACATATTACACCCTGTTCTAAGCTTCCACCACTATTGTTCAGCAAAAGAGCTGTACTTTGCAGAAGTTTGCATCTTGACCCGAGAGGGGGAAAATATTGCATTCACACAATATGGTCCCCCTGCGCTGGATTGCATTCATTGTGTACAATAGTCACCCTCGGCACTAGCAACTCTTCAATTTGCGTTAATCACAGTGACTTCAACAATAAAATAAAATTGAGGGAAAAAAAAGGCACGGGGGTTGAACCAGTAATGTCACGATCTTGCAAATGTACCAACAGTTGACCGATGATTCAATCCTCCAAGGACTGGGACGGGGTTGCATGCCATTTTTTTCTTTAAGAATGGAAAATTTGGCCATTCTGCATAGAAAGCAAAAAGAATGGCTAGAACTTTTGTGAAGTGCTCAAAGTCACTTCTAAGCAGACGCATTGTGGCAATTGCCTCAGTGAATTGTAAATTACATAAACAGTACCTGTCAAACACAGGTTGGGCCAACAACAGGATTTGTTTCTGGCTGGATTTGCACATGATCCAGTTCCTACAAAACCACAGCATGTTATTGACAATACCATATCCGTCCTTGTCCACATGGACATTATTTACACTATCACGGCTTCCAGTAGTGCTAAAGAGACATACCCAAATTGAATCTTTACACTCGAAGCTCGTATAGTGTGCTAAATCAATTTCTATTTGAGCAATTCTTACAGTAGCTGCTAATTTGTATAGGGATGTTGCTTACCTAATGTGAAAACAGCCACATAACATAGAAAGTAAACCTAACTATTCCACAAACAAGTAGAGACCCATGGGTACTACCCACCATCACCATCACCACCACACAACACCCCAACAAACCCCACCCCTACCGCGGCAGCTCCCCAAACACCCCAATTACCACATCCCTAACACCTAATGGGTACCCGGTGCCAATCCCTAGCAAAAAGACGACGCCTTATTCACATTACAACGGAAAAACCATCTTAAAAATGAAAAATTAAGTGAAAATAACAAACCGGTGCAGATGAGCAAGGTTTCTGAAGTTGTAGTGTCTGATGGAAGGCCTGTGTCTGAATCTGTACCTGCTGTGTTTGAGCACTATGTTGGGTAGAAAGAACCGATGACATAGATTTAAGATGGTGAGAAGGATTTTGCTGCTGTGTCTGCATCTGCAATGCTTGCTCAAATAAGGCAAACTCCTCAGGCTTGTCCCACTGTAGACCAGATAACACAGCCGTTAATCATATGTTCCCAATTATTTTGAGTAGGACATTTCAATATCTTCTGGTACTAAGAAACCTAAATGTCATATGAAGAAGATTGTCAAAGACTGAAACATACTCTGCTTTCACAAGTTTCACAATTATAATAATACTTGTATCCATCAGGGCAGTTATGTTCACTCCAGTCACACTCTATGGGAGCTGCTATCTCGTTATTTGAAGGAACTGCAGCTGAGAGAGAATTGCTAGCAACTGTCTGAGGATTGCGTCCGGTTTGTGGAGACCATAGAAGACAACAAGACACCAACGTATTTGCACAATTTCCAATATCACAGCACGGCAGAAAAGAGTTTGCACGAGTCACAAAGTACCAAAATCATTGTTAGTAAAATTGTGTGCGCTACCACTCGTGCATCACATAACTACCACAGAACAATTTAACATACATTCATAGCAATTTTGTATCCACCAATGAAAAAGTTCCAGAAACGACTAAAAGCCTCCTATTTTTAATACTTAAAGGGTTACTATAGCCAATGTTACTCCCTCCCACATGCATGATAATCATTTAACAGGATGGACATGATTCCTATGGTTCTAAAGAGCCCATACACAAACAATTCAACAAATACAGGGTGTCACAAGCAGTAGCTACATGACATATTTGTGACAACATGCTCATGATAGTATCCCTTCAAAGGTTGACCTCTTCAATCACTCATCACTTTGGCAGCCTGATAAATCATTTGTCATTGTTACCTACTAACCTGAGAACTCTGCTGCTGCCCAATAATTTGCCCTGATGGTTGCGTCAGATGCTGCTTCTGGGTCTCATTAACTTCTACTTGAGAAGTCCGAGAATGCATAGTTTGTGTGTGTTGTGAAGGCATCCTACACAACTGTGAAGATGACTTTGATGGAGGAAATGGTGGTTGTATGACACTAGAAGCCTGGGGTTCATGGTTTGCCAATTGAGAAATAGGTGGGTGTGAAGCTTGTTGAACAGGATACGATGCATTATGCATATTATACCCTCCAGTGGAATCACCATGATCGGATACTGGCCTGAAAAGAGCAAAGCAGAAGACAAACAGTCAAGACTAACAAACAGAATGACAAATGAAATGTAAGATGTATAAAGACAGAACTGTACCTAACAACTGGTTCTTGAGAGTGGGGAACAATGTTTGCATTGCTAAATAAATAATTGCCCCTAGAGAAAGAGAATTCAAATTTAGAAAATTTCACAACGATTTAACTGCCCCAAAATCAAACAAGAACATTATCAGTTAATACTGTATACATCTTGTATACACCTTTCTTTCAGCCAACGTTTCTGTTTACTTTAAAACCAGATATAAAAAGTTGCTTTTGGGTGACTGGTAAACATTTCCAGACCATAAATCTGGACCACTGAGCACTTTCATTTTTTCCAAAACGTGTGGTCCCATCCAAAGAGGGACCCCATATTTTCATGAAAGTAAACCCCGTGTTGGGGTTCACCATGCAAAGTCCAATGATCCGAACCATCCATTTTTTAGGTTTCCCTTCAAGGATCATCTTTATAAAAATAAAAATAAAAAACAAAAGAGCAAATTGCTTAGCTATTTGTTTATTATCATGAACATTTCAAAATTTGTCGAAAAAACTACGTTAGTCTATAATTTAATCAAAGTTAGATGACAAAATGGTTTATGATTTGGCCAAGCCTTTTATAAGGGTCATAGGAATCTATAAAAGGGATGGTTAAGATCTTTATACTGCACTAGGAGATGGGCCTCACATGCATTCCTTTTTTCCCTCAGAGAGAGAGATCTCTCTTTAAAAGCTCTCGGCATACACACACATATCTAAGAATGTTACAAAGCATAACCTTGATTCTATTCCCCTTGGTTTCTTAGGATCTGCAAAGCGAACAATTAACGGCTGAGCACAACCCTGAAGTAACATAGAAAAGAAGAATCAGACTAGATGCCTTCAAAGCGTAATGACACAATCAGTGCATGTTACTAAGCAATACAAAAGCATTACTCTCATAATGAAGGTTCCATTTAATGCTTTGATTGCTTCCAGAGCCATATCTTTATGGGAAAACTTCACAAATCCGGTCCCTTAAAAAAAAAAAAAAAACCAAATAATATATATATATATAAAAGCATTAGCCAGAACAAAGAAACAGAAACGGGTTTTTAGCAATATGCGATTCCATACAAAGTTTCATTAGATTTTACAGAAAATTATATGACTAAAATAAAGAAAGATATTATTTCACCATGAAATTATGATAGACCCCAACTGAAGTGCTGACAGATATAAAAGTTAAAACTACCGGCTACGATATCCACCACCTGCTTCTACCCTCTTAAGTAACTAGCAAGCATGCAAATCAGAATATCTCCAGTTCTGGTGATGTCAAATAGAACACAGGACATCATTAGGTTGAAAATACCATATTGAGGCAAGCATAATCAGCCCCCACAATGTAGATATCTTCAACCTGCCTCTATAACATGCAACTCAAAGTTATAAAGGATAGAGAGATCAACAATGAGAAAAATAGAAATACCACGATTCTGCCTCATCTCATCACGCAAAATGTAGATATCTTCAACAAAACCATATGGCGAAAATATCTGACATAGAAAGCACCGTATAAATCTGAACATCTTGAAAAGAGTTGAGGGAGTATATAAACAAAAATGGGTTGAGAAGAATATTGTTCTTTCCATGCAAGTAGCATGCATAAGAGCATATCCATAAGAAAAGATGTACATGCATAAACAAATGGATGCGCACAAATGCATGATACATCTCTATGGATGTATTGTTGAATACATGAGTAAATTATTTAGCTGAGGTTGTGATAGTAAGAAAACATTCACCGTACTTCCTCAATTTCTTTCCTCGAAGCTTCCTTGTTCAGGCCACACACATACAACTTGTCAAGTCCCGCTACCAAAAGGACAAGAAAAACAAAATTCATCAGATGCTGAACATTAAAGGCCTGACTAGGAAGGCTTTTACACGAAGCCTTTCACTAAGTGACTTTTATTAGAAGCACATAAAAAGTTCCATTAAAACCCCACGTACATCCTTCATATTCACCTCAAAGTGCTTTTTTCACAGACAAAAACACTCCAAAGCACACCTATATATGTCAGTTGAAAACACACAATACACTCTATTGCACATTATATCCTCGTTATTTAAAACAGAAAGGCATGTGAGAAGATATTCTATTATTTTGCTAGCAAAACAAAAACAAGGATAAAGACAATACAAACAATATAACAAAAGTCATAAGCATACAAGATAGAAAGTAAAAGAATATTTCATCTTTGCGGTCACCAAACTTCAAATATGAAATTCATACCTTCCTCATTAGCACAGTGGTAACTAATATATTCCTTTTATAACTGAAAACCCAATCAATTAATATTCATCCCTTTTTTTTTATAATAAAAAAATGGGTGTTGGATTCTAACTTAACAAGAATCCAGCCTTTCAAGCTGAAGAACAACAGCTTTATTTTTTACAAATTCAGGAATCATGATTAATAAAATTGAATGAACATACCGTTAAAACAGATACATTATTCAAAAAAACATTGAATTGTATTACATCATGATGTGAAAAAATGAACTCTGATGTGTGTTAATACTGCATCTGTCTCACAAGAATATTAATTCAAATTTTTTTTTTCTACGTAGTTGTATATTCATTATGGATCTCGTTTGATACATATCAATTCATTTTTTTCAGTGTAGTTCTATATCCATTCTAAACTTGTTTGATAATTGTATTCTAAATTTTGAGGAAAATGGTATATTTATGACATATAATGCTTCGATAATTATAAGGGGACTCACGACATTTTCTATAAAATATAAAGTTATCTCATAAAATTGGGCATACAAATTAGTAAATGGACCTAATCCAATAGAAAACATTTATTGAACTTAATGTAAAACTCTTGAGGAATAAGGATGCAGATCCTAAAAATTCCTAAAATATGTACGATATTAAGTTTTACAATCCAAAAAAGGTTCCACGAGAAATTCCTTAAGCATTAGAAAATTACCAAGGCGTTCCAATTCCCAGTCAGCATATTTAACTGTGATTGGTAGAACTTCCTGGCAAAAATAAATTACAACAACAAACAAACTTAATAACAGTAACATGATGAATGACATAAGTACATATCTATTTATCCATCGAGCAACAAATTAACTCACCCCAGGAAAATAATGCTGATTATTCAAGGCTCCGATAGCCCTGTCTGCTTCATCTAGTGTTGCATATTTCACGAAACAACTGCCTGCAGGAGCAACACTAAATCTGTTTTCTTACTAATTTTTCTTTCATAGTTATATGAAATACTATTGAAACAGAAATGAAGGTACCAAGCAAACGGCAGACTTATTAACATTTACAAGTTCGTAATGAAAGAGAAAAGCGTTGAAGATAGAAGAAAACCTAAAATTACTGTTTAGATGTTAAAATTCAAGGGGCATTCAGAACCAAGAATCTATCCTTCACCCACCCCACCCCATACGAATTGAGGTACCTTGTTGTTGGCCTGTCCTCTTATCCCTCAAAATAACAACCTCGGTAATACTTCCATATTGTTCAAACAACGGGCGAATCTGACATAGAAAAACAAGAACACCTTATTAAATAGAATTAGCCGTCACAAGACCAATGCACGACACCAAATAATTTGAAACAGACATCTTTGCTAGGTTGGTAAGGTTTAGTTTCAAAAGAAATGAGCACCAAAGACATTTTGACAGATTAGGGGAAATAATTACTCACAACTTCCTCAGTTGCTGTTCTGGAAACCTGTGCAACATAAAGTTTTACATGGAAGGCGCTTTCAACGTTATCTGAAAAACAAAATCCCCGAAAGAAAGAAAGTGAGAGGTACTAAAAAACCTAGCTTTGGAGGGAATAAGATAAATACAGCTGAAATTAAGATACCAATGCAGTTTCCATGTGTAAACAAATTCAACTACGCATTACTAAGAACCTTTCTCGGAATGTAAATAGTGAAAAAGAGTAATTTGCAGTTAATATTCGTTTTGATAAGTGGAAAAGTCATCACCAGCTTAACTTCAGTCACTAAGATTAAAGTAACATTAGCAATATATGAAAAAGAGTACTATTGGCAGCCTAACCCAATTCATTGTTTCCATTCCATTACTTTCCTACATTTCCTTACCTACCAAACAGAGCATTAAGGCAAATACAAATGTATGTACAAAAAATTGATATACAATACCCGGAGAAGGTCCTTGATTAGAAGGATGCCAAGCCCTTTTGCGTACAGAAAAAGGCACCGGATGGAACGAGCCATTAGAGTGGTTGCCATGGTGGTGGTGGTCGTCGTAGTGGTTGGAATCGCGGTGGTGATTGTGGTGGTTATGATGGTTATGGTGGGGATCGACGGGGGGCCATGAAGAAGAGGAAGAACCAGTCCCAGGGTACGAGATGCCCTGGGGCTCTTGGTGTTCTCCGTGCCTCTCCAGCTTCACAGATACTCTGCCTGGATTAGTTTATGCCAAACTCTAACCTTAACCCTAAAATTGTAGACTTGAGTGCGATTGAAGAAGAAGGCACCACACTAAAATGGTGGAGCTCAGGCACAGCCGATTCTCAGTTAATCTTCGTGGACATGTTTATTTTTTATTTTTTATTTTTTATTTTGGATAAATTCCACAAATGATCCTCAAATTTGTACGCGATTTACATTTTGGTCCTTAAATTAAATTATTAGTCCAAATGGTACATCAACTCTATTTTAATCGCTCATTTGATCCAACAGTTACATTTTCTGTTAAATGTAACCAAATTTTAGGGGCAAATACAACTTTTCATAATTAACAAATAAAATAGGATTAAAATAAATACAAAATTAGAAAATAATTGAAGAAAAAGAGAAAAAAATCATGAGACCCAAACCCCCTCCCTTCGATTTCTTCTCCCCAATTCCCTACAGACCTCTCAAATTACTGTGTTTGTAAAAAAAAAAAAGATAGTTTGTCAATGGCCTTCAATCATCCAGCCCAACAATTAATATCCAAAATAATACTAACAAAGGTTGATGAAGGTTGTTGAAGAGATGCAGAGGAAGAGGAAAGCTCTTGAGGAGGTGGGCAATGGCGAAAATGGTAGGAGTGTTGGCCTTGGTATTGACGGCATAAATCCCCAAAACCCTCGCAGCAATTTTGGTGTCTTGGCTGAAGAACCGGTACTTGTACTTGGAGGGTGAGAAATTAACAGTGGCTGTGATTTTGGGAGGTGGGGTTGGCAGGTGATGAGGTGGGGAGGAGGGTGGTGGGTGGTTGTCTCTCAACAACAAAGGGAAATCAAAAGGGAGGGGGATAAGGTTTGGGTGGTTGTTGAATTGGGGTTCTGGGTTAGTTGGGAGGGGGTTTTTGGAAGATTTTTTTTCTTTTCTTTTTCCGTAGTTGCTGGCTTGGGTGGAGGGTAGGGAGGAGCTTGGGTTTTGGGTTCATGGGGCCTGGGATGAAAGGTGGTTGTTGGATGGGTTTGGGTGGAGAGTGGTTGTGGGATGGGTTTGGGGGTTGGAGCTTGAGGGTGGTGGCTATGGGGGAATGGGGAGAGAGAGAGAGAGAGTTTTTATTTATTTTTTAGCATTTATTTATTTGTAACGTATGAAATCACCAATTTGCCCTCATATTTAACAGCAACATTCGAAATGACCAATTTGCCCTTATATTTAACAGCAACATTGACAAAATGTAACGGTTGGATCAAATGGGCGATTAAAATAGAGTTTATGTACCATTTGGACTAATAAATTAATTTAGGGACCAAAATGTAAATCACATACAAGTTTGAGGAACATTTGAGTAATTTACCCTTTTATTTTTGGTAGTTATGACTTCACTCCTTCTCCTGTAAATAGAGCCCTACATTTTTTTATTTTTTTTCATTGTTGGGATTTCGAATCTGGGTGCCATGGGGAAGGGGGAATCCACCATCACTGTAGTGGGAACTCATTGGCATATCACCCTACATTCTTGTCTTCCTATTGGCATGGTGCCCTATATTCTTGTCAATGGTAATTTAACACATATATAAAAGTATTTCTTTTTGAATTATTGATTAATTATTTTGGTACATATATCAAAGCGTGACTATAAGAAAAAGGAGCAAATGTTCATGTTTTATTTATAAGGAATGATGTGTGAATATTGAAATTATTTCAATTGCTAAGTTCTCATTACAAGTTCTAGGATGACCTAAAGCTATTTCTTAAAAAAAAAAAAAAAAAAAAGGGTTTCTAACTGTGTTTGACATAACAATTCAGAAGAGCTTATGGATCATAAATGCATTTTTTGGAGAAGCACATCTTCTTGAAGCAAATTGATTTTGAACAAAAATTTAAAAGTTATTTTAATATAATCACTTTGTTGAGGCCCCATAAATCCAAGTCTGGGCCCAAATATATTTATAGTCCAGTATGACACCTAACTTGGGAAGAAACCCAACTTGGGTACGCAAGAGTTCGTCATATACGCTTGCACACTTGTCACGCCAAGCAAATAAGCAACACGCCACGCTACAAGCTTAAGTGGGCCTAAACCATGCGAATGCCTGTGAATTGCTGAGCGGGTTGTGATATAGATGGTTACGAGTTTTTATGAGACCCATAGATGAGCCGAGAAATTGAAGCTTTGGGCTGCTTGGGAGCCCCGAAACTCAAACCCATTTCTTGAGCCCAAATATGTAGATAAGCATAAAGGAGAGAAAATAGCCCAATACTTTAGGAAAAATAGCCCAATACTCTAGGAAATTAGCCCATTCCCTTAATAGGTTAACTCGTCACCTTAGAATGGCCCAAATGACCTATAAAATATCTGAAAGTCTCTAGCATTTGGCTGGAGACCAAACCAACGACAAAAGCCAAAGATTGCCTATGTATGCAGGCTGCTGGGAATATCCAGCACATGGCTAAAGATAAATCCCAACACAAGCCATCCAAAAAATCAAAGGATACTTAAGCAAAACACCTTTTGGACCAGTGCCATTACCCACTCATTTCTCCTACCAGCTTTTACTATGAAATAAGGGAGGAAAGAAAGTGAGATAGTAGCCAAAAATAGGAGTTTAACATTGAAGCAAATGCGGGAAGGCCTTAGAGCTCCCAAAAATCTTGTCTTTGTGTGTTTGAACAGAGGAAGGTTTCACAAAAGAGGTTGAATCAAAGGAAGATGAGAGAAATGGAGGAGAAGACTTAGCAAAATTGGAGAGAATCAACTAGGGTTTTCTTGGGAAAAAAGAGCTTTCAGTGCCTATAAAAGGAAGACACCTTCTACCCAGCAAAACAACTCAAAAAAAGGCAAGCAACCCACATCCGAGATAGCAAGCTTCATCTCTCATCTCTTAAACCTCTGCAATTTCGAGCCTCGTTCCTCTATCTTCTCTCATTTTCTCCTCTGGCAAGCCATTCCAGAGTCTGACCAAGCTTTTGTCAGGCTACCATAAAATTGCTCAAACCATCCACTTCTTCTCTCTCTCTCTCTCTCTCTCTCTCTCTCTCTCTCTCTCTCTCTCTCTCTCTCTTCCGCGCGATACTCAACTTGAATCTCATTAAAATCCCTTCCCCTTTGCTTTAAACCTCTGTTTCTCATAGGAAATCATAGCTCTTTCTCTTTCTCATGCTAAACTCATGAATGCTAAACTCTCACGCCAGAAGCCTTTCATGTCAAGCCAAGAATTTATTTGTAAGCGACTGTTGGTTTCATTTGTGAAGAAGACCAATGTGTTTCCTAAGGCTCAGCTACCTTTTCAAAACACTCTTGGGGTCTAATCCTCAAACTCAGACTCAATGGGCAATTTCATACATTTGACTCTTTACAGCAGTCCAGGGCCATCAGTAGCTGCTAGAACGAAAAAGCCTCTACACACTTATGTGGAGAATTACTTCTTCATAATATAATCACTTAGTGCCCGTTTGACATTACTTATTTGGAGTGATAAGTGATTTAAAAAAAAAATTGGGAAGCCCAACCCGTTTGGTAAACTATGAGAAAATCACTTATTGTTAAAAATTGTTGTGAGAGAAAACTATAAGGGAAATCAACTAATTAGGTACTTCCATTTTCTGATTATGGGGGAATCAGTTTTGAAGAGGCGCTAAGTTTAATGATAATGAGGGAATCATTTTCTGATTATGCAGGAATCAATACCAAAACACTTTAACAAACATTTTACCAAACGCCAAACTGCTTTCTCTCATAACTGATTTCTCTCACAACAAATCTGACAACGATTATTTTCATAGCACAACAATGCCAAACTAGCTCTAAGTGGTTTTAAGTGATTTATGGAGAACCATATGGGAGGTGATTCTCCCTATAATCACTTATAAGGGACTCTGGCTCTCTCAAATCACTCCCAAATGAGCCCTAAAAGCTCTTCTAACAAAAGCACTTATGGGCACAAGTGCTTAGTGGAAAAGCAGTCCAAAATGAGCCCTGAATCAACGAAGGGGAATAGAATGAGACCAAATGATAAATTTTAGGACGTTTGAAATTTAACGATTATAAAAGGATGTGTGGCTTTTATGGTGTAAAATGAAAAGGATGTTAGTATGCTATGAAATTGGGCAACTAATTTGAAAAAATGGAAAAGAAAAAAATATTGGGGTTTGTTTTTTGATTTGTTTTCACTTAATGATTTTTGTAAAATTCAGGGTTTTTAATTGCAATGGTATGTGAACTTATACCTCGAGTTTCAATTTGGTCCTTTTTTGTGTGTGATCAATTTAGTCATCCTACTATCTTAGTTCTGTTAATTGAGTCATTCCTTCATATTATGTCAATTTGGTTGTCTAGTTGAGGGTTAAAACCTTCAATTTGAAATCATACTTACCTACATATCCCCAAGTAGCTGGAGAGCTTGAACCCCCTCAAACCCCAAATGTCTCACTTTTTCCGTTGTTGAAGGAGATGAGAGCGACCATTGCCTATGCCAAGACTCTAAGCTATGAAAGTTTTTTTAGAACTGCTATGTAACACCCCGACTCCAAATTTAATTCCTACTTTAATTTAATTAAGTGAAATTACGAATTTAACCGTGGAGAAAGGGTATGTTGGTCATTTTCTTATCCGGAGGTACTTAGGGACAACGAGTGATTTGGTTGCGTAAGTGGTACTGAGACGAATCCGTTGACATGCGGTAGGCTTGAATCCGAGTTATAACGAAGATTTGGCGATCAAAATAAGTTCAGTGGCGAAACCATAATTATTTCGAAGAGAGTTAGAGTAAAAATATGAAAATTCACTTTCTACCCCTCTCTCTCTCTCTCTCTCTCTCTCTCTCTCTCTCCCCGATTCTCCCTCTGCTCGAAACCCTTATGTTACTGTTCATCGAGACAGAAACCGCCTCATAGCATCCACATCCGACCACCTCAGCCCTCGAGACCGATCCCGTTCGACTCGTCGTGAAGCCCCGAACTGGAACCACCCAAAATCCCAGTCGGAAAGCTCGAGAATCGTCGGCGGTATCGACTGGTTCAAACCGGAAGTTTTTCGACGTTGCGTCGCCGTCTCCGTCATCCATTTCAGGTGAAAAAGGTGGGGTTTCTTCCTCTTTTTATATGTTCTAGCTGTTTATGGGGTAGGATTGGAACAATTTTGAAGTTTGGAAGTTAATTTTGGAAGTTAGGTTTTGGCCGGTTTTCAAAGTGAAATTCTGGCCAGTTGTCGTCCGAATTGGACTTCCCCGTAGTTGAAGAAAGTGATCCTTGCCTCGAGAGGTACCTAGGATAGAAAGGGGGAGCTGTGGTGTGGAGTTTTTCAGTCGCCGAAATTTACTCTACACACCCACGCGCTGCCGGATCGTGTGTCGGCGCGTGGGCAAGGGTGATGGAGCTGCAATACGTTCTGATGAGATCCTTAGGTTGTCACGAGTGCGTAGGATTCCGCGGATCTCAATTCGGATGTCGTTTGACTATTGAACGGATTTCGCATATTGTGTGTTATCCGAGTTCGATAGGTTCTAACCGTTGGATCGTTTCCAAATTGAAGTATGTTGATCTAGGTACTCTTAGAATCCTATAAGAATTCATGGATCACGAATCGGAGCCCCGGATGTTCCGATTCAATAATACAAAGTTTGTGAGTTAGCATTAACCATTCGATTGTAAGCGATTTCTAAACCTGTAACCGGACCTTAGGATATTCCATTGGACGTACACGCACCGGGAACTTGGGGATTTAAGTATTTTCTATTGTGAATTTCCATTTCGAAGTGCGTGATATTAATTAAGGGTTTATATCTCGAAATAGTTGCTCCAGTCGATCGTACGCAGCAGGCAGGACCCTCTCGGGGCCGGGCAACTTGGGATTACCTGTGAGTGGACTTTGTTTTCAAGCATACGCATGGTTTTATGGATAAAAGATTTGTGCATATGTTTTAAATGGTATAAATGATTTAATAATTAATTGGTTTATGGATTTGGATATTCTTATACGTATTGGCAATATATTTTGGGTATGACTATATTTGAGTATTGTGAATATGTTTATATGGATTTTGGGATGTCTATCTATATTGCCTATGTATAGAGTATGAGGGGTTGTGGATGTGAGTGGAGAAAAGATTGAGTTTGAGAGATGGTTGAGAGATGTATGAGTATGCTAGATGAGTACCATCCCCTGGTTACTAGGCTTCCAACACATGTCGTTGGCAGTGCTGGTGGGGTGGGAAGGCCATGAGATTGTGGGTCTCACAATGTCGTTGGAAGTGCCGGCGTGTGAGACACTTCCCATACGTGTCGTTGGCAGTGCCGGTGTACAGGAAGAGTATGTATATTGCTTGATTCATCACACATGTCGTTGGCAGTGCCGGTGTGTGATGATGTCGTCTGCGCGCGTAGGACTTGTTTTTGGATATGTGAGCTACACGTGTCGTTGGCAGTGCCAGTGTGTCAGCTATGGAGTTCCGTCCCCCGGTTGGACTACTCATCCCTGAACGCGGGTTACTTCCTGGAAATCCTGCGTACTAGCCAACAATCCCCAAGTTGGATTGTTTCCCTAGTACATTAGTATGGAGAGAAGTATATGTTATATTTATATTTATATTTATATATGTATGTAGAGGTTGGGTAAGAGCTGCATAATTTTGAGATTGAAGTTGTGATTTGAGAGTTTGGGTTCAATGAGTTTTTGATAATAATGTTTTTGAGTACTTGGTTTATAAATTGTGAAACTGCATGCTGAGCATTATTTTTACAAGGTGGGGTTATTATGTTGTTTTAAATGCAAACTTTGTTTTTTTGTCCACTCACATATTTCTGTTTTGCGCCCCCCAGGCAGTAGTTACTCTTGGAAGCTTTCAAGCAGTGTTCGAGATCAAATCGTTCCATCTGTAGTTAGGACTTGTGTAAATTCCTTCTACTCAACTATTGTTGTAAACTAATTCTGTTAAATGCTCTGTTATCGCCCATGACAGGTTGTTACTTGAGGCCGAAGGCCACTTTAGTTTAGATTGTTGTATGTTGAAAGCATGTTGGCAGTTTGGATTTATATTATATAAATTATGCAAGTTGAATGTTGTTGGGTTTATGCATATTACAGGGGAGACTCTGCTAAATTTTTAGTAGAAAGTTTCGGTTTTTAATAAGTGGGCCCAGCATCGAGGTGATGTCGGCACAAAGATGGGGTCCACCCCGGTTTCGTGGGAAATTCCGAGGCGGGTCCTGTCTTGCTAAATCCCCAAATTTGAGCCTTCACCCTTTAATAGAACTCTCAATTTAGCCCTAAACACTAATCAATCCCAAACTTCCCAAAAATCTGATTTACCCATAAAAAGTATGTCATGTGCCATTCACGTGATTAAAATTAATGGAAATTGTGATGGAAGGACTCAATTGGCACAACTAGGAGAATTCGATGACCAAATTGACTTAAAATGAAGTTTGAGAACCAAATTGAAACTCTCGAGTATAAATTCAGGGATTATTGTAGTAAAAAAACCCAAAAAATCGAAGGAAATATGTTCGATAGTAATTAGGTTGTAACTTGTAATATTTCTTTGGTCTAACGTAATTGGTTTTATTTTTTGAAGACATTTCCTATTAAGAAAGACGATCACATACTAAATATACACACACTACATGAATGTTAGAAATTGAATCTAGAACCTTTCTTGGGAAACAATTATTCCAAAGCATTGCACTAACGGATTAGTCCGGAGTGAAATATGGTCTAAAATATCGATGATATCGGAAATATCGATAGTCCAAAAATATGGAAATTTCGATGGAAATATCAGGATATTATCGATATCGATAAAAAATTGAATAAAAACCACGGAAATTGTAAGAAAAACTTGGAAATTTTTATTGAAACTTTGGAGAATGTTTATTTAGTCAATTATCTATTAGTTTATAAAAATAAAAAAAATTAGAAAGAAATGCATTATATGATGGATTTAACTGATTTAAGTTGATTATATAGCAAGCTGGCAAATACCGTGAGTGTATAAAATATATAGTAATTAATGGAAAAAAGATTAAACACACCATAATCATTTATATATAATGATTTACTACAATATTTTACACTTAGAGTAAGTGTATTGTGAAGAGTATTCATCAAATGATAAATTCTCAAAATAGTTTTGCATGTAATTGTTAACATGCCACCCATATAAATATAAATATTTTAGCATATTATCATTAAAACATAAGTGATATATGGTGGTTATGGTGTTGGAGGAGTAAAATTGAAGGGGTTCAAATCCCCTTTGTGTTTTTTTACACCAATATTTTGACAAAATATTGCTGAAGTATGAGCGAAATTATCGACATCGATATTTTCCGATATTATTATTGATATTTATACAATATGTACATAGATATGTTCTGAAATATCCGTGATTCAAAAAAACCGAAATATCCTCGATATTTCGTTGATATTATTGATATTTCAGACTACGCGTGAAACTCATCCATATTTGACTGTAGAGTACATAAAAGTGGATTTTGGGGGCGGATATAGAATTTGAATAAAGTAAGAGTGACATCTAGAAATAACAAAGAAACATCAGCCTGCAGCAGAGATTAACAAACCCAGCCCTAGGCTTTAGCTTCTCCTCATCGACGTTCAAAGCCTTTGCTTTGCGGCTCCACTATCTTCACTCTTCAGGTAATATTTTCGTTTCTTCCACAGAAACACCCTTCCGTACACCAGATTGGATTCATTCAAGCATTCACTTGGCCCCTAATTTGCCATATTATGTTATTGTATAATCACGTAGTGGATTTTAAAAACTTTATTTATTTTTTAATTTTCACGAAGATTTTCTGCCCAGAAAAACAGAGCTTGTTATCATTTTTATCATTGATTGCTGCTTTTGTTTAGAAATTCATACAAAGTGTTTTGCTTAGTAAGTGAACTTAATCGATTGGGAATTGGGTCCTCATAGGACTGCAATATCAATATTCAATAAGATGGTGTTTGGGAATGTCTTAAAGATGCATTATTTATCTTCTTGCTTATGTAATTTGATGGCTATGGAGGATACTGATAAGGTTTGGTTTGTGTTGTGCAACGTTAGAGTTCATAACGTTGAGTTAGATGGAAACGAGACCAGACCCTGATATTGATGATGATTTTAGCGAACTATACAAGGAGTACACTGGCCCTCCTGGGTCAAATGCCACAAACACACAAGATAGGGCAAAGCCAAACAAAAGGTCCCTTACCGGGTCTGACGAGGAAGAAGAAACTCGCGACCCGAACGCGGTCCCAACTGATTTCACCAGCCGAGAAGCCAAGGTTTGGGAGGCCAAGTCAAAAGCTACTGAGAGGAACTGGAAGAAGAGGAAGGAAGAGGAAATGATTTGCAAAATCTGCGGGGAACCTGGTCACTTTACTCAGGTAAATATTTGCCACACACACATACACAAACTTTTCGTCTTTTATTTTTCAATTGCTGATTTATAAAACACCTTTTCTAGTAATTGGAATAGCTCAGACCATCTTGTAATTGACTTAGTAATTGGAAGCAGCTTCTGCCCGAGAGTTTACATTTGTGGTCTGCTAGATTTCAAGTTCAGATAGATTGATGCTGTATCTTTTCAGATTTTTCACACATACTAGTTCTGTTGGTAACCTACTTTCGCTCAGGGTACCCCTGTTTTCGGAGTTTTAGGTTTATTACTGGAATTAGGTATCCCATCTCTGCATCTTGATACTCACACCCACACACACACCCCAATAAACTTCCCGACAGGCACAAACACTTGGGCAGGTAGAGCGTTTTATTTGTCTGAACAGAACAGATTCCATATGCCTCTATGAGCTGTGTTCCAAAGCTACTTTCAATTGGCATTGTTTGTTTATGTTGCTAATCAAGCTGTAGCTCACTTAGGTTGGTGGCTATTAGTCATATTATGTATTTGACTTGTGTCTTCTGTTCTCCATACTATATTTCTGTTACATTAGTATTTTCACCAAAATGACTTATGATTTTTTCTTCAAAGAAACTGGTACTTTATGAACCTCATTGCAAAAATATAGTCGTGATAGAAATTTATGCAAGGTCATAAAAACTGATAGAACCGCATAGCATGTGTAGACTTGCTTGTGGTTCGATTTATTCCTAAATATTACCAATGTGGGGTTTAGCTGGTTTGCGGTTACACCAACATGTGTAGACAGGCCCATGGTTTGCGCTACCATGTGGTCTGAGGTTCGAAACCCCCACAGGTACCTATCTAGCTATTTGCTAATGTTTCCTCCCTCCCAAAGCTTGTATGGCTCGGCGGGGGCCTCCAGTTTCAAAGCTATGTCCGCAAAAGCAGATTGGTGGATTTCTTGGTATAAAAAAAATATATTGTGATTATATTCATGGAAAGAGAAGGGTTTTATTTTTCCTTATGATAAAATATGTTCTAATGAATTTTGGTGAATCTTTAGGGGTGTCCATCTACGCTTGGAGCAAATCGCAAGTCCCAAGATTTCTTGGAAAGGGTACCTGCTAGAGAAAAGCATGTAAAATCACTTTTCACAGAGAAAGTGATAGACAGGATTGAAAAGGATATTGGCTGCAATATTAAGATGGAGGAAAAATTTATCATTGTCAGTGGCAAGGATAGGTTAATATTAAGAAAGGGGGTGGATGCTGTGCACAAAGTGATTAGAGAGGAAGGTGAGCAAAGAGATGGTTCTGGTTCTCACATGACTAGATCAAGGTCATCTGAGCAAAGTCCTGTTGGTTCACGGTTACAACGCTCTGAATCCCAGAGGTCTCATTCTGGTCCCCGAAATGGGTCACATTTTCAACAAAGATTTCACAGGCAGGAGAAGTTTGTTGAAGACCGTATACGTCAGGATATGCAGAAATTTTCCAGGGGTTCTCCACAAGGTAGGGGCAGCATAGGGTATGTTTATGGTCTATATAGGAAGTTCGTAGCTTGTTAGGTTCCCATAGAATTTCCTACCTGCTGTCTGTAAAATTTTCCCATTTATGAAAGAATCGGCTTGTTGCTTATCATTTGTTTGCAGCAAAAGGTAAGTTCTTATCTCAAGAATTGTGTGTACTACGTAGAGTTCTGAAGTAACTTGGGTCTGAATTGATCGGGTTGTCTCGGAAATGAAATCATTTACTGAAAGCATATCCAGAAATTTTGCCTCAGATCGTTTCTCTCTGAAAATAAGACAGTATGTTGAATTAAAGCTGACATCTGTGTTAGCATCTTGAATCAAGTGCTTAACATACTCTTCATTTCATGAAGCTTATGGTAATGATGGAGCTAGAGGTCGTCCAAGTCATTCAAATTCTCCAGCCCGTGCCCCTTACATGGGAAACTCGTATAGTTCATATGATGGTCATAATCAGAGCATGGCTACTTATAGAAATGATGGGTGGGATTCTGATAAAAAAGGACCTGATATGCAATCTGGTCGTCAGTTTGATTACTCTGCCACCCCTCAGACATTAGAAGAATTAGAATTGGAGTACAAAAGAGAGGCAATGGAACTTGGAAGAATTCGTGACAAGGAAGAAGATGAAGAAAATTACAAACATCGTGAGGTATGGACTACCTTACAACTCTCGAAAATATAAATAGAATGAACACTTTTAATTCTGTTCTTGTTGCTTGAAGTGATAATTGGGTATTTGACGATCCTATACCTTTCTTAACATAAAAGGAAAACTTGTGTCTAGTATATCTCCAGCTACCGTGCCTGTTTTCTTACCAAACGTAATTGTTTTAAAACGCTTGATCTCTTTTTACAAATTTATGGTATCTGACTTTGTATTATACGGATAAAAGGTGATTAGGGAAATGAGAGAGAACTACATGAAGAAACTGGGTACCCTGAGGGGGATGCATGCAAAACAGTGGGAGGATTTTATTCAAATTGATGCCCAGAGGCATCAACAACAGGCTAATCAGCAGATGTCGACTTCAGGTTTTGGTGGTTATAAATCACAGAATTATAATGAATATGATGGCTCCTCAGCCAATCCTCATTATGCCGGGGCCAGTTTAGCTATGGATTCAAGGAGCAGATACCCAAACCCTATGGAAAATTATCCGTCAAGGCCTCATGACAACTTTGGCGAGTTCCAGCGTCAGAGGCATGATGATTATGGGAGAGGTTACGGTCGATACTGAATGTTTAAGTGCAATTACATTTGGTGAGTAGTCTTACCCTTCAGGCAACTTAAAAGGATTTAAATTGTTACCTTAAGTTTTGGCCGAAAAGTTGAATATCCCGTATATCCAGGTTCATCTGAGGGAAACACTATTTAACGTGGTTCTTGAGGATGCGGAGCTGAAATTTTAGTAGAATGCTTTTAGCAAGCACACAGAATGTCGATTTGTGAATCTTGGGGGTGTTGGGTTGGCTAGGGAACTAGGATGTTGGAATTGTTAATGTGGTTTGCAGATTATTTTTTGATTATTTAGCACTAGTTAAATTCCGCTCCGAAAATTTTTCAGGGTGCAGGTCTGAGTAATGTAGCGGTATGCACAGGGGAGCACCAAATCTAGGTAAGCATGTTTTCTATGATTTAAAATTGAGGGAAGAATTGTGCACATTAATCGAGTGGTACGGCTGCTGTTTTGCAATATGGTGACTCAGTTCTGTTTAGAACTTGTTGTAAAGAAGTGAGACATGATTTCTATTGGCTAGTAATGTTTGGATTTTTGACAGTATTCATTGGGTTATAATTAAAGTAGATACTCTTCATCTTAATAGCACGTCGATGTGAATGCCATTGTTGAATTTTTCAATTATTTCGCTGCAACACAACGCTGCCTACTGTTGAACAGGGGAGGCACCTGGATGGGTTCTAATAATTTTTTTCATTTGTTAGAATTGTTCATCTTCCTTAATTCCCAGGATTGGAAGGTTTTTATACTTGTTTTGAGCACTGATGCGTACGACCCTGTTACAATACGGTAAGTACCAGTTCACCTTTGGTTAAAAGGGGGCCAAGCCCCGAAAACAAAGGAAAAAACTGGCCCTAATGCAAACGGCTCTAGAGGGAGCAACAAAACTGAGCTAACCGAAAGAGGAGGGTAATCAAAAGTAGAAATCCCTAGATCAAAACTGAGCTGATCATTATAGTACCGTTTTCGCGATCTTCTGAAAATTCGCCTTTAAGCAGCCTTATATGGATTTACTGGTAAGCATGAAATGATCATAATTATCTCCTAGTAGTCAGCGACCCAAAAAAGGCTTTATATGTTACCTTTTTAGCTGTTGGTAGGTTAACTTAGGGAGTGATTGGATTGCACTTCGGCCCCGTTTGGTTCACAGAACGAATTTGAGGGGAAATCGTTTCCCATGTTATTTCCCAAGAGATGGGAAATGAATGATTCATTTCTCACGTTTGGTAATACTGGAAAAGTAATTGGGAGATACCACTTTATTTCCTTTCTTATGTTTGTTTTGAGTATGAATGGAAAACAAAGTTCGTATAAATTTTCAATTATATCTATATTAAATCAAATAAAAAAAGAATGCATTTAATGATATATTGTAATTATAAATTGTTAATGGGGATAAAATGGTCATGAAAAGTGTGTATTAAATGTTGGCTCATTTTCTCAAACTTTCCCATGAGGAAGGAAAACAAAACCCAAGTTGGGAGGATGGCTTCACTTTCCCCCTTAAGATGTTAAATGTCTATGTGGCACTTTTAACACATCGGTTGGAGTGTAAAGCTATATAAGATGTCAAATTACCACATCAGCCATCAAATTTAAATTTGATGTTTGGTATTTAACATCTCCCTTGAAGATGCTCTTAGGTCTCATTTTAAAAATGGGCTATGACTAAGATTCAATTTGTTGGTTGGCATTGGCATAGTTTGCTTTCCACAGGACAAGCCCTTTGCTCTTTTTCTTTCTTTCTTTTTTTTCGAGAAGAAATGATAACAGACAAGCATGCATTCATTAAACTTGGCCGGGTTTCCAATACTGAACAGAAAATTAAAAATCTTCCATTTCCGAGAAGAACTCCAAGAGCCCTTTAGATTTTAACCTAGCTAGACAGAAAATTAAAAATCTTCCATTTCCAAGAAGAACTCCAAGAGCCCTTTAGATTTTAACCTAGCTAGTGGGCAAGTCACTTGTGTGCATATATATACCAGTTTGAGAAGAGATGTTAAGTCATATACGCAGAGTACTACCACCCAAGAAGAATAAGAAATGGCAACATACAATGTGAATGTGCATGGTGAGGCAGTGAAAACCACTGTGATAAATAGTGCTTCTTTTGTGGACAGCTTCATCACAGAACTCATACTCTCTTGCGACTACACCAACTCATCATCATCAAGACCTCCTATTATCGGCTTCCACGTTGAGTTTACTGATGAGATCAAAGCTGCCACTCTTCAACTTTGCTCAGGCTCTCGCTGCATCATCATACAACTCAACAAAATGGTAACGAATAATAGTGTCTCTCAGTCGCTGATCAACTTTTTGGCTGCTCCTCTCTTTTGCTTTGTGGGCGTTGAAATATTTCAGAGCTTGGCCTTGCTTAGGAGGGAGTATGGGATTGTGTGTAGGAATGCGGTGGACTTGACGCTGATGGTTAATATGGCTGTTATGAGTGGAGCTGTTGAGCTTGAACCAAAGCCTTTGAGCGTTGTCATGGGAGACTGGGGTGCTGAGAATCTTAGCATGGAGCAAATCCAGAGTGCTGCTATTGATGTTTTTAACTTTTTTATTTTTGGGGATTTGCTGGTTAATTCATTGAAATAGTTGTTGGCGAGTCTTTGTTTGACTCTAGTGTGGAGCAATTCTATGTAATTTGGAAGTGTGACCTGAGTTTATTTTGGAATTCAGTGGCTTTCCCTATAAGTACGCTTTCGTCTAATGTCTCTTTTGATTTGATAGATTTTATGGATAATGAAAGATTAGAGTTTTATTAATTCTATAAATACAGGAGCATCTGAAGAGTTTGTATATCCATTTGCAAAATCTGTATGTTCATGTACTTCCGTTGATTGAAGATCACGGTTCAATTCGCAGCATCCTTTTGAGTGATTGAATGGGAACTGAGAAAGCTTCCGTTGTTAACATTAGAGCTGGCTGTTCAAGTTCGAAATTGATAAAAGAATTGAAGAGGGATGCAAAACATAGATGAGAATAAATTAGCAATAAATTTCTCTTTATCTTTTGACGTACCCTATATGCATTTGATCTTTCCAATTCCAAACTACTGTTATGACCTTATGTATGCCTGCATGAAACCCTTTGAAGTAAAGTACAAAATTACCTTGACATTATTACTACGTGTGTAGGGTTCCTTGTATATAATACGAAGGATGCTAATTATTTTGTGTGTTTATGAATTATGTCTACAAGTACCGTAGTTATAGGGAGCGTTTGAGTCTATATACAACGGTGGCAGATTGCTGCATAGACGTAGATGATTGAATAAGGAATTTTATGTCCAATGCTGCTAGCAATGAAAAAAAGGTTATAGGCCTTTACACTGAGTGGACTTTTGTCCATGATTCATTAGATTCCGATTCAGAAACTCCATCAAAAACCAAAGTTGCAATTTTAACTCTATGTGATGGCGATTGCTGCCTTATTGTTCAGCTTCCTTACTTGGATTCAGCGCCGCGGTCGCTCCTCAATTTTCTTCGTCTACCGGATTATACTTTTGTGGGGATTGGGATCAAGGAAAATATAGCCAAGTTGGAGAAGGAGTATGGTTTTGGTTGCAAGAACTCTTTTGATTTGGGGGATTTGGCTGGAAATGTTATGCGGCAACCTCACCTTGCTGCTTGTGGGGTTGATGAACTGGCTCTTGAGCTTAATTTGTTGAAGCTTCAGAAGCCTACAAGTGCGGTTTTTAACGACTGGTGTAATAATAAACTCAACAAAAAACAGGTTAAGCTGGCTACATTAAATGTTTACGCTTATTTTGAAACTGGGAACAAGTTGTTGGGGGCTGGTGATTCTAGCAGCTAGTATACATGCTGAGAAATAGAGGCATGGGATGGGATGGGAGTAGAATTGAATTTGAAGCGTGCTCCTTTTCTTTTTTGTTGGTGTCTATTCTGTTGTTAGGCTTTGAGTTAAGTATCTATTAGCCTTATGTGATGTTTAAAAGGATGAAGCGTCAACCGAATAATCTAATGTCAAATTAACAGTCTACAAAGCTCAACAGTCAAATTTTTATTTTTATGTTTCTTTTAATCACTTGTAAAGCTTTTACATATTATATAAGCTCAAGTTGTTTTAAAAAATATAATAAATGAATGTGATTATACATTTCAAATAAAATAAAAATTTCTTTTCAATATGTGGAATTACTACATAAATTATTAATTCTTTTACGGGAACTTCTGTAATGAGGAGCTATGTTAAGGGGTTACAATTTAACAGTTCAATAATAACTCTGCAATGGATGATTGGACGACTATTAAGGAACCCCGCATGCTAGTCTCCCTCTCCTTTTGCTAGTTTGGGCTTTTGAATTTCTTGTTTGTTTGGGCCTAGCCCTTTTTTATGTCAAATAACATCAGGTGATGAACTGAAGATTTATGGGGGTGATGAAGTGACCCAAAAAAAGAACTGAAGGTGATGAAGTGAAGCTCACTTCGTGTGTGGGACCCAAGCTTATAGGTCTCTAACACGTCAATAGGCACAAACCAATGAGGGCGCAGCCATTGCCGTCTCCGGACTACCCATTACCTAACACTTCAACACGTCCTCGTTCTTAACTGTTGTTTAAGGCTATGACAAACGCACTAGGAAACAAAAACACAAAATAATTTAAATAACAAATATGAAGAATATTCAAATTTTTTATTTTATGATTTCTCGTGTTTCTATTTTACTCCTCTCCTCTCCTACCGTTGTTTTCATTTTCTGAGAAAAGTGACTCCTGTGTGTGATTCTGATTCTGTGTGCGCGCTGACCTGAGATCGCCAAACCGAACCATGGGTTTCAGCGGTTCTTCTCGTTTACTCAAGGTACTATCTATTTTCCCTTTGATAATATTTTTTTTTTGGGCATTTCATTGCTTTTGTTTGCTGGCAACAATTTGATGCAGAATCCACTTTTGTCATTCTGGTACTTCTGTTTCTACAGTTCTACTATGCAACTACCGTTTTCATTGTTTTTATTTTCATTGCTCTGGTTGTTTCTTTTGGGTTTGTGGTAATGGTACACTGCAGTATTATATGACTTGTGAGCCTCAGCTGGGTAATATCAAGTTAGGTAGGGGTTTCCATTTTTTGGTGTTCATAGTTTGGTTGTTTCATTTTCCTTTTGTTCCTTTTTTATTTAAAAATTTTGTATCACATTTGACATCTTTAATTTTAAACATGTTTCAACAGCACCACGTCTCTTTTCTTTCTTCTATGAACATTGAATCTTTGGAGCCGGTGCAAATAAATGAGCAATTTTGATTTCCTTTGCAGAGTTCTGATTGTTTCTGAGGGGTCAATGTGGTTCTTTGAGAATTCTAGGCTTTTTACAACAAGGAGTTACATCTGAAGTCAAAAGCTAGAAGGGCTTTTTTGAAACTTCAGTTGAGCTCAAAGGGTTGTCCGACTTTGCTTGGAAGGATTCATATGGCTCCCAGAGAAAAAGGATTTGAATTAGACCTTGAAAGTGGAGGGAGTAATAGTGAAGAAGATGCAAGCTTAGAGCTTGTTTCAAGCAAAGAACCAAAAAAGAAATTCTTGAATAGTGATTTGAGTGGGTTACTGAGTTCCAATGAATCAGTTGTGTGTACATGTGGCATTGAATCATCTAGCAGTTCAGAGAAATCTGTTGAGGTTACAAATGACAGTGTGGAGTTACTAATAGAAAGGAATTCAGAAGTGGAAGAGAATCAAGGACATATGACCCTTGCAGAAAAGGCGAGTGAGAATGAGTGGCGTAGGAAGCCCAACTCTAGGAATGCTCCTAAGCCACCACGACCTCCTAGAGGTCCATCACTGGATGCCGCTGACCAGAAGTTGGTTAGGGAGATCACTGAGCTGGCCAAGAGAAAGCGTGCACGAATTGAGCAAAGGAAAGCAGCGAAGAAGATGAAAGCATCAAAGTCATCATCTTTACAAAGTGGCATATCTGCTATGATCATCACATTACTGTTCTTCTTTGTCATAATCTTTCAAGGTAGATTGGCTTTTCAGCATATAATTGAGTCCTTTTCCTTCCATTTTCTTCTTTTTGTGTGTGATACTATATTTAACGGATATTACATTCCCATTCGGTTCTGTTACTTATAAGCTACATTTGATTATTTTACAGAACTTTAAAAAAAAGTTTTATTCTGATTTGAAAAATAAAAGAACAGAACCCCAATGATTTGTTTATCCCTATGAAACATTGTATTGATACTTGTGTACAGAGCATTCTCATTGAGCATTCAGGTTTGGAGTATCCATTTGCGGTTTTAAGCAGGAATCCTGAAGCAGCTCTTTTTGTGGTTTCACCTAATTCTTTTATGGGCTGCGGCTCTTTCTTTATTTCATTGGTGGTCTTATTTCGTTTTTGGAATTTCTTTTGCTATTTGTCTATTGGACCATAAGTTCTGATTTTTGTTCAACTCAGGGTAATTTGAGTACAAAACAGCTCATTGAAGATGGAAAGAAAAAAAAAGGATTTTATTTTTATTTTTTATCTTCACTAGCTAGGATCTGAGTTCATCTGAAATCTCATGTACGATGCTGTAGACGAGCCTTCTTAATGTTGCACTCTATAAATCCTCCCACATCAGATTTTAATATAACTCTCATGTGGCTTTGAGAATGCGATTCTTTGAGTTTGTATCATTTACAGTTCCATAACAAAATCATTTACCTTTACTAGTATTTTGATGTTACACAAGCCTACTCAAACATATTGGGATTCTTTTTTGTTACTATGTTAGTTGCTTACTGAAAAATCCAGCTTCTTTAACTTCGTTACTTCATCCTTCTACTCCTCCACCTCTGCTGGAGCCACTTTTTTTGAATAATGACAAAAATGATAGTGAAAGAGATCATTTGCTGAAATGATAATACTCCACTCTTACTATCACTCACTTTAGAAACAAAATAACCCCCATCATTATCTGAAAACTGTCCTCAGTCCATCAAGGTGATAATCAGAGTGAGAAGAGTAATATTTTCCATACTTTGTGAAATAATTTCGGGGATTCAGTGAGTTTATTGTTAGAATCAGTGTTCATGATGGCTAACCTGAATAGCTCTACTCAATGATTTCTGTAATTACATCTGAATGTTTGTTGAACTTCTGCTGTAGGGATAAGTTCCAGAAGCGTTCCAAATGTGATTATGCAGGGGTCTCCCGAGCCAGCAGTCCTAACTGAAGGTTTAATCTCAGTTCAATTCTACAAAAGCAGCCTACCCAATTCTACTTATCAAGGGTGTGTATTTGTTTTCACTAGGTTCATGTTTTACGATTTTATCTCGTCTTTCAAGGCTCTGTAACTAAAAGGTCCAACAACTTTAGTACTGTGTCTCATCCCTTCCTTCCCTACTTGGGTGTTTCTTGTTAATGCAGTGTCGTTGAAGACTAGGTTTCTTTGTTCAGGCACCGGGAAGAGTTACTAATGTTGCAGCAGTGCGTGGCTATCTTTTTCTTTTGTATATATGTACAGGCCTATAACTACAAGAGATTTTGAGAAAGTTTTCTTGTACGGCGAGTTAATTTGTTCGGTTAATGAATGATTTTACTAATGAGAAATGAATTGCTTGTGCTCAATTAGTAAAAGTCACAACTCCAAGTCATGAATGAAAAGACAAGTCTTGATGATACTTCGTTGCAGAAGTTAGGAAGTAGGGATTTGAGTGTCCAAATCCAGGCTGTTAGCAAGTCCCTCGGACTATTTCATTTTTCTAACTCTAAATACATCTGCAACTTTCCACGATTCTTTAATTTCAGACTCCAAGCTGAATCCAAGACTCAAAAGATGAACCATACCTTATGCAACGAAAATGAATGGAGAAATGGCTATGTTTTTCTACTTATGCCATTGATTTTTCTTTTCCCTCATGTTTTTGTAGGATTTGTATAGAAAGGTGATGTAGGGGAAGCCTTATCGTTGGGCGGCTATGTACTAGTTTTGGGTCTGTGAATATGAATGGGTGAGGTGAGTGGTTTTTTGGGTCTGCTTTGGTTTGGGAAATGAGGGTGAGAGGTTGCTCTGCTTGGATTTTAGAACTGTGGATGAGATTATTATGAAATAGACCTATCTATACTCTGGCTTTGTAGTGTAAGGCTGCACTTCTTGTAGGGTTAAAAGTACCTAAGAAATTAATTCCTCAACAACCCTAATGTTCCTCAAACCAATTCCCACACTTGGGGCATGTTTACGTATAAGTAATGGGTATGAGAAGAAAGGGAATGATTTCCATTCCTGAATTTCCCCTGTGTTTACTTGTAATCAGGAATAAAAAAATATGTAGGTCCCATCTCAAAATCCAAAATGACATCCCCTCAAAACCAGAAATCAGATCAACTAGGGAAGGGTAGTTGATTTGATTCCCATTCCTTTTTTTTCCTTACTACCTTCCAAAAATACCCTTACCACTTTAAGATAATCCCAAAACACCCAAACCATAGAAAAATAAAAACTTATGCCACTTTAATCTTATCAAGATTATGCTTAGGTTATTATTATTTGATTTTGTTCAAGTATTATTTGAAATTGGTTAGTTTAGCACTACAATATGGAGGAACATGGACATAAAACAAAAACTATTGACACTTGTTACGTTCTTCCATCCCATAAAATGAAGAAACCAAACTTTGAAGCCTTTTAAAAAAGTTTCAATGACTGTTTACTAATCACCATTGGGAAAAGCAAATTTTTTCCCTTTTCACTTTGGTTGCTAGCCTCTACTTTTCTTGTTATGCTTCTTATCACTGTGTCATAATTGTGTTGTTTTCCCTATTATATTCCGTATATTATTATATACTAGTTTTTTCATCACTCGTTGTATAGTATCTTATATTATTCAATTTTCCTTTTTTACAAGTTATTTAGGGGAAAAATATATATTTACATGTGCAAGACATTGTAGTAATCAAATTAGTTTAGGTTCTGATTCATGAGAATTAGTAAACAATAACAATAGGAATCAACTACATTCATGTGTTGATTCCATATGGTTAGTAAACAACTTAATGGGAATGATTCTTCTCATACCGATTCATTACTTTTCCAATTCCTAAATTCCCCAATTCCTTACTTTCTCAATTCATGGTAAGTACCCTTAGAGCATCTCGAATAGTAGTAACAAATTAAACTCTTCAAGTTAAAGTTGATTGACCTATGTGACACTTTGAAAAGACTTATTTGCTATTGTAATAATTTATGCCCCAACAAGCTCTTCAATTCAATTAATGCAATGTTATGGAAAACAATGAAAAATATCTATGTATTTATTATTTGAAAAGAAAAAATGCATGTTTTTAACATTTTCAAAGTAGGTTCTGTTTTTCCAAAGCAAAATTCAATGTTTTGAAGAGCCAATGTCAACTTACCAGCCATGAAGAGAGAGAAAGATGTTGCAGCTTTTATGACTAAGTTTGACAAGGTTGCTAGAGAGGGTTTTGATGATGTGGCTTATTTTAGCATTCCAAAGTTATTAAAGAGGCTGTTGGAGATGTTCTTACTTTTTCATCCCAAATCCCCAACTTCATGGAGATGAAAATGCCCACACTATTTACACATTTCCCTCACCATTTACTAACATATCAAGGTCCCTGATGAATAAGGATGAGGCGAAGTAGTTGTGAATAATACAGAACAACATAATTTTCATACAAGAAGTGAACAAAAAAGAAACAAAATATATTTATGAAGTTCAATTATGAACAACAAACATACATCACTATACACACACTGGTTTATTAAAGGGATGTACATGTGCTTTATCAAATTTGGCTCATGTGGAACACATGTTAAGGGGATCCATGTGTCCCATTTAAGAATTTCCACATTGTAAACTCTGTACTTGTTTAGCTACGCAACACCTTGTACCCTTTCCAATTGATTTTGCAAGATATGTTTGCACCAGGTCCTCGATTATATTACTCTGCATAACTAATGGTGCCAAGTGTCTGCCATCCCAGTCCAACCAAGCCATAGGATCACTAAGCTTGTCTAGGATAAGCCTAAGCACATCATTAGAAAACTCGAAGCACGAAGGTCTGGTGTTGTATTGATAGTGCCATTGTGAATGACAGCCCCGCTATCTAGGGTCTATATTTTGTTTAGTTACTGTAATTGACTGCCCCTTCAAAGGTGGTTGACCATATATGTTACAGTATTGAAATATGACTTTTACATGACCAAAAATAAAATCAAGTGTACTGTATGTAACACCCCAGCTTGGCATGTTGAGTCCCACATCTGTAAACTGGGTCAGTATGAGATTTATAAGAGATTGCATGGATCCTTATTAGCGACTAGTCATTTTGGGGTATATCGTCGAAGTGGTGTGCACTTGTTCACCCGTTTAGAATTTGTTCCTGTGATTGAAGGGCAAAGTTCCCCATTAGCTTGAAAACCATTGACTGGTCAACAAATCAACTTTCTTTAGTGTGCGAGCGTGCCACTGCTAGCAATAACAATTCTAACAGACTTCTTAAAATAGATAACTTGCGCCCCAAGTTATTGATTTCTTAAACAAACGATTGTGAATTTGGGTGAGGAATATCTCTCAAATAAGTTCTTTTCCTGCCTTAAACTGGTGAGGACTTCACAATTTATCTCAATACAAGATTGGTAGTTCTGGCCAGAATAAATGATAATGAAACGAACTGTTTTAGGCAGAACTGCCTTTTACAAAACTAGAGAGGAAAAAATCAACTTTAGAAAGACAAAAATGTGGCTAAAATTCCATTTATGCCTGGATAGAAGCTTCTAATCCGGGCTGGACTGGGTATGTCTGTGCTGGACTGAACTGTTAGCAACTTCAACTACTTAGCTTCATCTATAAATCGATACCAAAGTTCAATTTTGGCAGAGCTTTAATATATTTCAAGCCCTGTAAGGCTTTTGAACGGGCAGAACTGCGACTTCTTTGGTCTAAAAGGGGCAGAAGTGGATGGACCTGAGGATTACTGAGCCGGAACTGCACTATGGTACCTGTTTTGCTTGATTAGGGCTCTCCATAAATTTATTGAGGTTTTCATATTTGTGAAAACTCAAAATCTGCTTATCTTGGCTTTTGCTGAACCAAATTTGTAACGAGAGAAGTCTCATTTTGAATGACTGATTTCTCTAAGTCTGAACTTGGAAGTTCTGATCTATAGCTGGCTTCTCTTGTGACTCAAATGAGCTTCTAGTTGCTCCAATTTGTTTTGAAGGTTCTCAGTGATCAAGTGATCATTTTGAGTTTTTGCCTTTAGTTGATTTTTGGTTGTTTGATTGATTGTTTGATTGAGTGTGTCTTCACTCTGTTCACCCTCTCCTATATTTATAGAAAATGCTTTGGAGTATGGTTTCTTTCTTTTAATAATGGGGGGCAATTTTCTCAAAGATTTATTTTAAATGTAAAATAAAAAAATGGTTATATCAGCTCTGGCAGATAAGCTCTCAATAGTCAGTTTTTAAGACAAATCACTTCTCTGTTTTTGTAAGAGAACCTAACCCCTCTTTAATTCTAATTGCCCTTTATGAGAGCTCAAAAACCGTGATGGTTAGTTTGATTTTACAGTTTGAACAACTCCTTGTTTTCCTGCTTATCTCTTTTTGAGAACATAGCATGCGTATCCCTTGAAAGATGGTGCCTTCCTTGCAGTAGAAACATTATCTCTAAATATATAAAAGTGTTTTGATCTTCTGATGGTCAGAGATTGAGAGATGTCTCTTCCTAGTTGCCTGCTTTTGTTAACCTTTCATCAACCCAGTTGAGAATTTTGACTTTTCTAAGTCAGAAACATCATGTGGGTCTGTTCCTGTTTTGGGCTTTTTTTCTTTTTAATCATGGCAATCCCGAGTTGATCCATGGGCTGACTTCTTCCTTTTCTCTCTTTTTCCGAGGCCCAAGTTTTATTTATTTTATTTATTTAATTTTTATGTTTTTAGGCAGTCTGGACTGGGCTTCCTTTGATTTGGGCTTTTGATCCCTGTTTATTTCTCAAAGTCCAGACTGCTTGGGCCTTGTGGCCCCATTATGGGTTTTTCGGTGTTGGGCTAGGTGCGCAAGATTTTGGCCCAAACAGCACTTCCTTGGGTCATTACATATCGGTGAGTTTAGTAAAAAAGTAAGACATATGAGCAATCCCACATCACTTAGGAAGAGAAAGGTGAAGTGTGTTATCATAAGTTTGAGTCGAGGAACAAAACTGTGAAGGTGCAAACCCAAAGTAGACAATATCTTGCTAGTGGAAGTAGGTTGTGAAAATTTGGTATCAGAGCTAGACCCCGACCAGAAGTGTGCAAATGATGACATTGGGCCCAAATGGGAGTGGATTGTAAGACCTGTGAGCTCGGTAAGAAGTATGATTAAGAAGCAATCTCATATCCCTTGCCAAAGGAAATGTGACGTGCCTTATAAGAACAGTTGTCATCTTACTTAGTAAAATGCTTTTTGGGCAAGATAACATAAGCTTGGGCCCAAGAACAAAACCGTAAGAGCCTAAGCCCAAAGCAAACAGGATCTTGCTAGTTGGAGTGGGTTGTAACACCTTATCTGTCACACTCTCTGAAGAATTGGTTGCCTTGGTTTGCAAGTAATGTGTCTTGATAT